CTCTTCACATGGGATAGCATCTCAGAGTGTGCTCAACAATGTAGGAGTTTGAGGTCAAGCTGGGGAGAAAGGGGAGGTGACCGTAGGCATGTTCAAGACTTCAGGTTCGATTTGATAGAAGGCAAAGAGGAGATAAGATGAAGTGATTGAGGCAGGGAGTTCCCGAGGTTCAAGGCATGATGGCTCAAGACATAGTCGTCGATGATGAACTCATTTAATAGTATGTCCTGATATGAAAGTGCTATACAAATGTAATTTGTTTGTTGTTGTGTAGTAGAATCTCAGTGAGATCACTAATGTCATCCTGTAGTGAATAAAAGCAAATTACCATTAATAAAATTAATAAAACCTAGCAATTGACCACAGCAGCAACGCTGATCTCAGACACACCTCAGCACTAATAGCACTGACCTGAGGAAAAATAACCCTGACTTGAGACACAGTGATCCTGATATGAGACACAGAGACTCTAACCTGTGACACAACAACAAATCACTGTTACATAGACCTTTCATGAACTGACACAGAGTGTCACCTGAGACAGAGTGACGCTGACATGAGACAAAGTCACTCTGAGCTAAGTAGAGTGGCACAGATATGAGACACCAACACCATTGACATCCCCCATCATGCAACAAAGGACGCCACAATTAAAAAATAGTTTTAACATTAAATAAAAACAGTTAATTTTATTTTAAAATAAAAAAAGAATCCACAACTGTTTGTAGGACACTGCTGCGCGCAATTGGCTGCCGCGTTTCGCCCACGCAAAATACACTTTATAGCATATTCTGTGATGCGCTTTGAGACGTCTCAAAGACTTGATGAGGAACGATATCAAATGCAAGGATTATTATTATTATTAAGAACTCTGGGAGTTGTTGTAAACTACATGTCAGAATAGTCACATAAATTTGGCTGATGCAGGTATAACGTATTTAGGACTTTGGCATTTGTGTGTTGTGTGATCAAGTACATTGAACAATAGAAATCCATGGCACAGAAGAAGGCCATTCAGCCCATCGTATTTGTGCCAGCTTCCTCAAGAGCATTTCTTTCAATTTCACTTACCTCACCTTTACTATACACCAGTAGCTGTCTCTGTTAACCTGTCTAGTTAATTCTCAAAGAGCAATATGGATTTTACCTCTCCAAGCAGGGCACTTCATATCCTAACTACTCTGAGTGAAAACAATTCTCCTAATCTCCCCATTTTCTCGTTCACAAACTTAAATTGATTCTCTCTCAGTTATTGGTGGAAGTAAATTCTTGTATTGATTCGATGAAAACCCCTCATAATTTTAAATACCTTGATCAGCTCAGCCCTCAACCTTCTCTTTTCCCCAATAATGTATTCTTTTCCAGTATACGCTTTTTGTGCTCATCTCTCTAAGCGGCATTCTTTAATGATGCATTGATTATCCCCATGACAAGATCCCTTCAGGTCTCTGTATGTAGGAATAATGTAATAATTTAACTTCTTTTTGTTTTCCTGTTTTGAATGCATATAATAATAATAATCCCTCCAAAAAACCAAAAACAATAATTAAATTGGTCATTTTCAATCTACGACTGTTTGTGGGACATTGCTGTGCGCAATTGGCTGCCACGTTCGCCCACAAATATACAGTGAATTCACTTTACAGTGTGTTCTGTGAAGCGCTTTGGGACGTCCTCCCGACTTGAAAAGCGCTATATCAAATGCAAGGATTATTATTATTATTATATTAACATTGTTGAGTAGTCCTCAACAGCTGGTTTCCCTGATTATATATTATATATAATCTCATACAGTCTAGGCAGACTATGTTGTGCAGTGCTGAGGTTGTGCTATCAGTGCAGGATCTTTGGATAAGAGAGTAAACCAAGGTCCTGTTTGCCTGTTCAGGTGAATGTTAAAGATCCCATGTCCCATTCAAAAAGTGGAGTTTCTCTTGGTATTCTGGTCAACAATACCTCAGATGAAACAAATCATTCACATCATAGCTGTTTGTGGGGCATTGGGATTTATAGCTACAACATTTTATTCCAAATCGATTCTTCTAGTCAGGATGTTAGCAGATTCTGAAAGGATGGTGCAAAAGAACTCAACTAAACAAAACTTTCAAACAAAAAGAATAGAAGCCTTTGAGATCCACCACTTGAAATTATCTCACAGTATGCAGTAGATAATTCTTGCATTTTGTTATTAAGATGGTGCTGAAGGGCTATTGGCAATGAAACCCATATTTTCCATTTTTAAAGTTGTGAGGATGAAGATTGGTGCCATATTTTTAACTCCCCCAGTGGTTGAAGTAGCTCATATTACGCTCACTCATGTTACTTCCATAATGTCAGCCCATTTTAGATGTAAAGGTGCCACAAACTGGTGCCAGAAATATAAAGGAGCTGAAAATAGAAACTGTGGTATTGGCACAAATGTAGCACAGTTTGTAAAGCAAATGGTTTGAATATAAGAGGTGAGAAATTCCACCTAATCTTGGCCTCTAAGACCTTCTGTCTTAAAAACATATGACTGACCAACACAGTTTCTGTGGAAAATTCTTAAATTCAACTTTAATTTGGAAACTGGTTCTTTTTAGAAATTGCGGAAAACCTACAGAAGTATCAAGATTGGATTTAAGAATTTTCCACAATTCTGCCGCCTTTTAATCTCAAGATAAAAATAGTCTTACAGGCTAAGACTAGGTGACATTCTGGGCTTCAGATGCATGACAGGATCATATTTGTGGATCATTGATAGTTCTGGTTGTCTTTCAGTAAGATAACACTGTCATATTGAATGCTCACACTTTTGAGCAACCCATTTTGGATCAGTTGCTACTCTTGTCTTTAGTACAGAATACCATGGGTTCGAGCCCCATGTCTAGATTTGAGATCAAAATAATAATAATAATAATCCTTGCATTTGGTATAGCGCTTTTCAGGTCAGGAGGACGTCCCAAAGCGCTTCTCAGAACATACTGTAAAGTGAATTGACTGTATATTTGTGGGCGAACGCGGCAGCCAATTGCGCACAGCAATGTCCCACAAACAGTCGTAGATTGAAAATTACAAATTTATTATTGTTTTTGAAGGGATTATTATTAGGCGTGTGGAGTAAGGAAACTTGCCCAAGGTTTCGCCCTCTGCCTGGAATTGAACTCAGGTCTCTCACTTGCAAAGCAAGTGCTCTAACCACTGAGCTACAGACTCCACACTGATAACACTCTGGTTCATAATAGAGTGGGGCACGACTACATTACTTAAACCAAAGTCCTGACTGCCTGCAATTGGGTGGACGTTAAAGATCCCAAGGCACTTTTCAAAAAGAGAAGTGAGTTTCTCCCAGTGCTCTGTCCTTTAAAGTAAATGGTCATTCATCCTGTGTTCGTGGCACTTTGCTGGTGCAAATGGCTGCATGATTTCCCTACAAAAAAGTGAATAGACTTGACAGCAATGACTTAAGACAGTTGATGGGATAAGGCACCACGAAAATGAAAGTTCTCTTTCTTTTGTTCAGAGCTTAAAAAATGTGCTCAGAGTTAAAGAATGGCCACTTCAGCAAAATGTAGGAAAGGATCGGATCCATAGTTCAACACATAATATCATTTACGATACAATTTACTTTATATAGTGCCTTTCATGTCTCTTTCATGTCACCAGGATGTCTCTAAAGCATTTGTGTCACTCCTTTAGGAAATGTAAATATGTTTGTCACTACAAACAAGAGTCACTAGTTTAGGAAAGGGAGCAATGAAGGTGAAATAAGAATATTAATCCTTACATTTGATTTAGCGCCTTTCATGTCAGGAGGATTCTTTATGCACTTCACAAGATTTACTGTAAAGTGCAGTGACTGTGTATTTATAGTGAAAGCCGCAGCCAATTTTACACTCAGCAATGCCCCACGATCAGTCATGAAGTGAATGATCAATTTTATCCGGGGAATTTTTATCCAATTGGAGAAACTCCCTTCTCTTTTTGAATAGTCTCACGGCATCTTTGTAAATCAACCTTTGTCCATCCACAAATAGATGGGACCTGAGTTTAACGTCTCATCCAAAGGACAACATTGTTGAGAAAAATAAAATAATGAGCCAAGTATTTACCTTTATTATTTTTACTTCAACCTCAGCTACTTGTGTGAAAGAATTCATATATCCTCCTCCAGCCGAAACAATTTAAGAGACTAAAAGAATGACAGCAAGAATTGTAGAAAAGATTTATTTATTGGTCTACTGCTTACGGAAATAAACCAGAACAGAGAATGGCATTATTACTGGATATGAATTTATCATTGGAAACACATGCTCAGAACCAAATGCAAGCTATCTTCCTAATTAAATAAAACATCTATTAAAAGAATGCTGATGCTCACCAATACAAGACAACATCCACCCTTCTTCAATCATTTCTATATTTCTGAGCATTTCTGCCAGTTTGCAGCATTACTGCATTAGTGATTTCAATAAAGACGTTTGTTGTGTTGGTTTGTTCAACCAAGCACATTTTTGCAAAATGTGAGTGCAATGTAACTCTGTTTAAGAGTGCTCCGTTTAACACTGATGTGACTGATTTTTTTTCAGAGTTAAATGGAATATAGAGAGATCCCAAATAGTATTTAAACTCCAGGAGTCTTAGCTTTGGTAAACATTGTCTTAAACTTCAAGATCATACATTATTTTGGAAACAAATTACAGGTAAATTCAATCTTAATTTTGAAGATTTTTTTCTGCAGCTCTTTTTAAGAACTTCCAAGATAATGTCTACAAGGTGGCATTGATGAATGTTTTAGTGATGAATGTTTTGGATCTTGGGTTGGAGAACTTTCAATGTCATTGTATAGGGTACCAACTTAACTAAAAATCAATATAATCACAATAGTAATAGTAATAATCCTTGTATTTGATATAGTTCTTTTCACATCCGGAGGACATCTCAAAGCGCTTCACGGAATATATTCTAAAGTGGAGTGAGTGTATTTTGCGAGCAAAACGCAGGAGCCAATTGCACGCAGTAGTGTCCCACAAACAACTATGGATTGAGTGACCACTCCTAGGGTTCAAACAGTTATTTAAGCGGGGCTGGGAGTATTACCACCATTATTGGGAAGTCGAGGCGGGAGGGGAGGGGTCTAGTATTCAAAAACATATTTTTGTTCTTGTTTCTTAAGTAAGGATGTGTTTGTCCAATATCCTTTGAGCCTGATATCCTCAGTGGTAAATAAGTGCTGCCCTTGCCACCACCCTATTGCTGCACTTATTACATACACTCACTAACACTACTGTCCCAAAGAGAGCAAAGTTCAGGAGTAACATTTCAGCCAAACATCTGTTGTTGCTTTGTCTATGTTGTCTATGTCTTCCCAGCTTCAAACCCATTCAGATTTCTTCATCCTGCCACCTGTACCAAGGAATGTCTGCAAATCTTTAGATTGCAGGTGAACAAACTTATACTCTTCTATCAGCTGCTTGCTGACTGACAGAGGCTCCATGGGTCTTTGCAGCGGGAGCTGGCGCGATCTGAAGCCTTGCTGATCTGTCGGGATCACCGGGTTGTCACCACTTGAGTGTCCGCTGAATCCCCGAGCTACTGCTCTCTGTTCTCCTGCGTACAGCACCACCTCACTGCCCTCTTCTTCAGTGTAGTCTTCCGTGGACCTGGAGCTCGATGGGACTGCGGTGAGGTGTGTGTTATTGCTGTTGGCATTGGGCAGAGCTATGTGCTCTGACTGGACACCAGAGTGCAGAGAGGTTCCTTCCCTCTGCTGGGATTTTGCTGATAAGTCGCTGTCTACACTCACACCGCTGCCCCGCCTTCTCCTCGCTTGTGCTCCATATTCCTGAACGACTTTGTGTCCGGGGAACACATGAGCCCGATTCGGGAGAACACAATACGGTTCCCTTCGGCAAATATTCTGTGTCAGAGATTTATTCTTACGGTTTTGACTCGAAGCTCTCTTGATGACATGAAGCAACTCCACGAAATTCAGCACCAAAGAGAATCCGGCAGCTCCAAGCATAAAATGAAGCATAAGAGTCTTCTCGGTGGGTCTGGAGGTGTAACAGTCTATGTTGCTGCTGCAAGGATGTCTGTAGCAGATGAATATATTAGGGACAAAAAACCCAAACAAATAGTACTGTCCAACACCGAACCCAGCTTCCAACAGCATCCTCACCAGCAATTGCAATATATATGCCTCACAGAAATGAGGAATGTTTTGCCTCATCCTGAAATCTTCATTGACTTGGTTCCGTTCATCACGGCTTTGATACAAGCGAAGTCCTGACTCCGAACTGTTCCTGATTAAATATGCACTTCCACAGGGCGCTTGTTCCCGTCCAATCACCGAAACTTTCGGGAGGTTTTCAGGGAACTGGTGCACGCTTTCCCTTGCAATTTGGCTAGTTACCTTGTGGGCCACGTACACCACAAACATGGCCAAAGGCAGGCAAAGGGCCATGGCTTGTAAAAACCAGAATCGGAAGTGAGACACAGGGGAGAAGGCATCGAAGCAGATGTTGGAACATCCCGGCTGCATGGTGTTGCAAACAAACCGTGCATGTTCATCCTGATACAAGGGGTAACCCACCACAATTATCACAAGTAGTCTGAGCAGCACCATCACTGTTATCCAGATCTTCCCTGAAAAAATAAAGGGAACCAAAATTATGTTAGAGTCTCAATAGCAGGATTCACATAAGGATCTTTAAACAGCAAATTGTGCATGTGCTGAATTGCTGGGAGCAAATTAGCTGCCCCATTCCCCATGGAATAGTCACTACACCTCACTGTAAAACCTGTAAAGCGTTTTGAGACATCCTGCTGATGTGAAAGGTGCTATTTCATATGCAAGGATTATTATTTTATTACCTGGATGTATCTATCTGCAACTCTACTCAGTTTTCATTTCTTTTTTGGATTGAGGCTATGGCACCAAGGGATGACTTTTGAGGATCAGGGATCACCCGTTTTGGTCCTTTCCAGATGGAGATTAACTGGAGCTAGCACCTTCTTGGAGTACTGCCATTTTGATTGCAGAGTGTTTGTGTTCACATCGCTTATCAACTGAGAAGGAAAAGGGGATACTTTGCTGCTGCAAGCACACAATCTAATGCTTGAAATTATTTTGCTCGTAAACTTAATTGTGTGAATTCCGAACAGAATTGTAGTTCACTGGTTGCAAGTCTTGTAGTTTAGTGAATTAAAAATAATAATAATCCTTGCATTTGATATAGCGCCTGATCACATCTTCAAGACTTCTCAAAGCACTTCACAGAATATACTGTAAAGTGATTTAGCTGTATATTTTGTGGGCAAAACACAGCAGCCCACAAACAGTCGTGGATTGAGTGACCAATTTTTTTTAAGGGATTATTAATTGAAGGAATTAAAGTGTGCCATATAACCATATAAATCCATTATTAAATTTACAGCAGAGAAGAAGGCCATTCGGCCCATCATTTCTGTGCTGGCCCTTTTTAAAGACCAATGCTTTCAGTCCCATTTACCTGCCTTTTCCCCGTACCCATAAAAATTGGTCACTTCAATCCAAGACTGTTTGTGGGACACTGCTGCCGTGTTTCTCCCAGAAAATATACAGTCAATTCACTTTACAGTAGATATTGTGAAGTGCTTTGAGACATCTCAAAGATATGATAATGCGCTATATCAAATGCAAAGATTTATTTTTCTTCTTGCCCAATTGACTATTCGTCATGTGTGAGCTGCGGTATTGAGTGCCAACAGGGCTGCTCAACCACAGAGGGCATCACACTCTCAGGCCATTCACACACATAACCCTCTAGGAAAGATCAATGGATAGCAATCGGGAGCAGGGACGCAAGCTGATTTTTCCTTTCCCTTCTTCAAAGTCTGAATATGGAAAAATGATAATAATAACAATAATCCTTGCACTTGATATAGTGCCTTAACACATCATCAAGATACTCAAAGCTTTTCACGGGATTCACAGAAGGCAGACACATGCCAGATGAAGTTTAATGCAGAGAAGTGTGAGGAAAGGCAATATACACTAAATGGTACAGGGGCTTCAGAAGCAGAGAGATCTGGGGGTTCACATACACAGGTCTTTGAAGGTGGAAGGATAGGTTGTTCACAAAGCATACGGGATCCTTGGCTTTATAATTAGAGGCATAGAGAATAAAGGCAAAGAAGTTCTGCTGAACCTTTATAAATTACTGGTTAGGCCTCAGCTGTGTCCAATTCTGGGCACCACACTCTAGGAAGGATGGCAAGGACCTGGAGAGGGTCCAGAAGATATTTGCCAGAATGGTACCAGGGATAAGGGACTTTAGTTATGTGGAGAGACTAGAGAAGCTGGGATTATTCTCCTTAGAACAGAGAAGGTTAAGGGGAGATTTAATAGAGATATTAAAAATTATGAGGGATTTTGATAGAGTAGACAAGGAGAAACTCGTTCCACTGGCAGGTGGGTAGTTAACCAAGGGATATAGATTCAAGATAATTGGCAAAAGAACCAGAGGGGACATGAGGAGTTATTTTTTTTTACACAGCGAGTTGTTATGGTCTGGAATACACGGCCTGAAAAGGTGGTGGAAACCGATGCAATAATAACTTTCAAAAGGGAATGGATAGGTACTTGAAAAGGAAAATTTTGCAAGGAAATGGGGAAACAGCGGGGGAGTGGGACTGATTGGGTAGCTCTTCCAAACAGCTGGTACAGGCAAGATGGGCCGAATGGCTTCCTTGTGTGCTGTAATATTCTATGATTCTATGAAGCTGATCCTTCATTTTGTGGCTGTTTGTGGGATACTGATGTGCACAAAATTGGCTGTCGCGTTTACCTGCAAAATATACAGTCACTACCCTGTACAGTAAATTCTGTAGAGCACTTTGAGACATCCTCCCAACTCGTCCAAAGGACAGCACCTCCAATAATGCATCTCTTGACTGTGAGCTCACAGTCTGTGGAGCGTGAGCCCACAACCTTCTGATTCAGCTGTGACAGTGCTACCAACTGAACCTGGTGCAGTTGGTAGCACAGTGGTCCAGCTTTCATGGTCATTGAGACGTGTATGTCAGGTTGGAGGTTGTATCTACTGCAGACCCAATAATTCCCAATCACTGTGTTATAAATTCCACATTTAAAATGCATTTTATCCACTCCCCCACACCCCTCCACCCTTCCTCACATTGGAGCTTTACATAACTGTTCACTTCCCAAACAACTGTAACACAAACCCCAGATTTTTACTGTAAAAACATTTCTTATGGGTTCCTTGCTCTCGCTGACAGTTCTGCGGTTCGCTAACGGAAATTTTTTTTACAGTGTTTTTTTACAATAATGCATCTCCCTCAATCCCTTATGCTCCCTGTCCTTGCACTTAATAACCTTACTCTGAAGGAGCCCATTTAATGACTCCACAGGCCAGCACTCAACTCCTGAAAGGATAATTGCATCCCCTAATGCTGAGTTTTACCATAAGAGGAGTGGGGTGTAAAACAATGGAGTGTGATACAATTCTCGTGATTTAAACAGCATCAATGTGGGAAAACAACAATAATAATCTGTAAATATATAGCAGCTTTCAACAATAGCTTTTATCAATATATACAAAGGATACACATCTACAGGCAACCCTGTTAGAACATGCCCAAGGTGACTGAAGGTTCACTTAAGAGTGCAGGTCCACTGTGTTTCCATGCAAACCTGAAGTGCATTGCACCCAGCTACGCGCACTGACCAGCCAACTTCCTAAGAAATAGGTGATGTACAGATGGTCAGATCGCCACTTACAGCACCTCCTGCACAATGTGCGTATACACAGGAAACACCATTGATGTCACTTTGTGAAGAAAGTGATGTCCTAAGAACATAAGAATTGCTAGAAGAAAGAAGACCAAGGTCCATCCATTTTGCCTTTGACCATCCTGGCAGTTGCATGCACATGTCTTGCCCAAAACTATATAATCTATCCCAAGATATTAGTTCCTATAAGAATGTGTCAGAGCTGCTTCTTACAAGTAGCACCCAAATACAATGTTCAGGAAGTCACGGCAGTGATGATCTGACATCCTAGAAGTCAGACATTTTTCCCATTCACTTTTAACATGGGCACTTAGGCATTGAACCTGAATTGTAATGGGGTTGCTCTGCATACAATAATAATCCTTGCATTTGACATAGCTCCTTTCATATCAGGAGAACATCTCAAAATGTTTTGTAAGTAATTGCTGTAAAGTGTAGTGAACGTGTATTTTGTAGGCAAAACTGTCCAAAATTTAAAAAAAATTATTTTAAAAATTAGTGGATTAATCAAAATAAAAACTAAATAATGTTTCAATAATGATCACATAGTAATTAGGGTTTAGCACTGAACAAGTTATTTCAAGGTTCCATCAGTAGGCAACAGGTGCAAAGAAAAAAAAGTCCAACAATACCCTCGTGTTTTATCAATCCTGACCTTGAACTCTTGTTTATTCGGTTTATTCAGAATTAGAACCCTGAGATTAGCACAAATTATATTATTCTATAGTAAAAAATAATGATACAAGCCATCCAACAATCAGGAAAGAATCCTGAAGTGAACTTTTAATTGTAAGGACTGAAGATTATAATGCAGTCTTACAATAAAATACACAATTTCATTTGTATAGCACCTTTTCATGTCGGGAGGACGTCCCAAGACGTCCCAAGTCCCAAGCTTTATTAAATAGGCCAATGGAAAACTTTAATAGAATAGCACCTTGTACTCACCAACTATTGTGATGTTGTAGTTCAGAGTTAGAGTCACCAAACCCAGGCTGTCCCACCAAGCCATTGTCACCCAGAAAACAAGTGGACTTTTCCCTCCAGAGAAGTTCCAGCGATCACCTCGGCTGCTAAAAGGAAGGGAAAAAAATGTAAGTAAACAAATTGTCACATCATTTTTATTTAATTTAATTTGCAAAAAAAAACAGGAAAGTTTTCCCTCCCCGTTTTCTTAAAACAATAAGACCCATCTACAAACTGCTGTCCTCTGTTTGATCGCCGCTGGAAATGCAAACCTGATAGATGAGCGAGAAGCGGTGCCTTCACCTTCACACACTCTTCTCTATGCCAACTGTGAAGACAAAAGAGCCCCAGACATATCCTCTCTCTCCCCGTCACATCGAGGGCTATTCTTACCAACCAAAGGCATTCCAGCATCCTGACAGGTCCCAGATATTTTAGGACAGCCCATTTCAGGACGAACAAAAAACAATAGAAGGCACAGGATTAAGCTGCTCAGCCACGCCCCATCCACCCCGCCACCACTCACACTGCAGAAACCTTGGGGAGGCGAGAGATTCCTCCTCCAGAGCCGAGAGCGCAGGGACCACCAAAACCTGCACTGCTTGGCCACGTGTTATTAACATCATTGCTAACGGAGAATGCAAGTCAACCTGGTAGTTGGTTCAGTTTTTTCTTAGACCAGACGGATCGAGGAACAAGTATACAGTAAGGCGTTAATCCCATTGATGCAGGCTAAACGCGAATGCATTAAAGAGTTTAATTGATCACTGGGGAGCAACCTTGCTGATCAGAGTAGAAATGGGGTTAGATACGTGTGTCAACCAGGTTTAGTTGTTAGGGCTCTCCCCTCTGAGGCAGAATGTTGTGCGTTCAAGTCCCACATCAGGAAGGAGAGTGGGTGGTCCTTTCACACAAGGCTGAGGGCAGCTATAAAACAGTAGACCATGACCGGGGCAACAGGTAACCCTGCACATCACATTGGGACCCACTGAAACCTAAGCAAGGATGCTACAGATACAGTCAAACCCACCCACCTTTCATCTTAATCCTCTGGCAAGCCATTGACACTTTATTCAAAGGAATCAGCCTTGGATGAAAAATGTTAATGAATTTTCTTTGTCATTGAGAAAATAGGTGGGGAGGAAATTTCACCTGGATCTGGATTTGTTCTATTTATACACCGTTTCAGAAGTGTCTGAATCTGGCAAATTGTTGAATTCAGTTTTAAAATGCCTGTATTCTATCATTATTAAAGGAACTTACAGAAAAACAGTTTAAAAACTAAGACTGTAATTAAGAATTTGCCAACTTCTGGATGCACCGAAATGCCTTGAAAATAGAATAAATCTAGACGAGATGGAATTTCAATCCAAGGGGTTCTAAATAACTCTTGAGCACAAACAATCATCTGAGGCATATTTTCAAAGACTGTAATATTTTTGCTTAATTTCTTAGCTTTTTGGAATGCAGATGAATTAAGACAATGAACATTAATAGAGTATGTATTTAAATGTTACTCAGACATAAATGGACTATATTCGAATTCTAGTCTAGATTAAATGATTAGATATTTTAAATATTGTTATATACACAAAGTTATTTTAAAATGTAAAAGAAAACTCACTGGATATCCAAGAGTTTAGTCCATCTGACAGTGAAGAAATACTTTCCTTTCTGCCCTAGTCAATAATTAGTTTAGTGCCACAGTTCCTCCCTTTCCCTTGCTTCATACAGTTTTATTTTAGACTGTCTACCTAAACTGAGCCAACTATGTGAGGTAATCAAGATGCTTTCATCCTTCGATACGTTGTCCTATGGAAACGTACTATATAAGTACAAGTTGCTATTATCTTTTCAAGAAAGTTTTTTTCTTAAATTCTCTCAAATTATCCTCTTTTCCTCTGAGGGCACTAACTCTTACTGGGACACGGTTCCACAAATGCTGATCACTCATTACTAATCAAAAAGAGAAGGGAGTCCTGGCCAACAATCCTCCAAATAAGGGTGTGCCAAGATGGCTCAGTTGGTAGTACCATTGTCTCTAAATCAGAAGAATGTGGCTTCCTGCCCACATCAGGATTTGAAATCACATAATCTAAGATGATTTTTGGGGTTCTGGGAGGGGTGGGGGGATGTTCATTGTCAGAGGTGCCATTGTTAGAAAGAGAGATTAAACCAAAGTCCCAACTGCCTGTTCAGGTGGACGTTAAAGATTCCAAGGCACTATTGGAAAGGAGAAGGAAGTTTTTCCCAGTTGTCCTGGCTAACAAATTCGCCAAATACAAAATTTAAAAAATCATTTGTTTCATGGTTGTTTGTGCAACTTTACTGTGTGCGATTGTGAATCCTGTGAATCACCTTGGATCATCCTCCCGAGGTGAAAGGCGCTATACCAAATGCAAGGATTATTTTATCATTACATAAAATATAGCTGTTTGTCGGATGTTGCAGTGTGCAATTGGACTGTCACATTTGCCTACAAATACACAGTTATTCCACAGTAAATTCTATGAACTGCTTTGAGACATCCTCTCAATGTGAAAGGCTCAATACCAAATGCAAAGGTGACTGTTATTATTATATTACCCATGTGGTAGTTCCTCGTGATAGTGGGATTGAAAAGCCTCAGAACAGGAAAACCAAAATGTAAAATGATAGAAGTGCCAGAAAAGTGTCTTGGCCATAAAATGCCTCTCATGAGGGGAACCTCATATATGCTCTGCCCACTCATGGGAACTCTGCTCCAAACTCATTGCAGAGTTCTCATGCATTGACTTGATGTATATGGTTTGCCTCCACAAGATGCACTTTACATTTCAAAATGGTTTGTCCAGAGCTCAAGCCATTTATGCTTAATTTATCCTGTTTCAGAATGTTATTAACCCCATTGAGGGAGGGCAGGCTATAGAGCATGGGAAGAACAGATAAGACCAATTCTTTCCTAGCCTGACATCTGCAAATATGGGCATTTTCCATCAGGGAACATTATACAGCGATTGGGAATGTCAACCCTGGCTGATCTTTCTCCAACTAGCCCAGCAGAACTTCTGCCACAGATGGTAACTCCTACCTCACCACAGATTGGACATTGATTCTTGGGCATTCCCTTTACATTTGGTTGATCTGCAGAGCAAGTTTACCCATGTATTAAATCAGCATCAGTAATTCGGAATAAGAATCTATTTAATCTTTTTCTATAATTAATTATTCACTGAAATATGACACTCTTACTCCCGAACAGCAGATTACATAATTTTTCTTCATTTAACCAGTGAAAAGTGAGTCAAGCTCATTAGCAAAGACTAATTAGGTCATTTCTAGTTGTAAGATTGTTTAATTGCTGTTATTTTATATTTCATTGACTCAGACTTCAAAAGAGTTGTGTCAGATGAGACCTTACAGAGTTATATAACATTTTAAATGGGATTGAGAAAGTAAACCAGAACAATACTTCCAAATGCACCGTGACATTAGAGCTTGACAATACAGCACCCTTCACGCAGGGTCCCAGAGTACACAGCAGACACCAGGAAGTATTTCTTCACTCAGAGGGTAACTAACAACTGTAGTTTGCTGGTAAAGGTGGTTGAGGACTGGATCCTGAACTCATTTATAAACAGCTTGATGCTGTGATGGGTGGGGTGGAGGGGGTTCTGAAGGGATGAGATCAGACAGGTCGAAGGTTCCTCTTAATTTAAACCAATCTTGTGATCTTGTATGGTTTAACTTTCATCAGTAGATTATAAATAGATGACATACGTCATTTTCCCCTTCCCTACACCCTAATTCTTTATTCTCCTCTCCCAAGGCTTTGAGTCCATTGCCCTAAAATGTAAGATTGTGCAGAGGTTTTGAAAATTCTGAAATTTAGTCTTCATTTGGATACTGATTTTCCTGTGGTTTTTTTATGTTCTCAACATTTGCTTTTCTGTTCCTATTTGTCCCAGATTTGGCAGCAATCAAACAGAAGCAAGACATTGGCATTCACACAATAGAACACTGCAACAGGCACAGCCTAATTATTATTATTATTACATACAGTGACTTTCCACATGCCTGACTCTCCACACTTTTACTCCAATTACTCCAATGTCAACGTCAAGTCAAGCTGCGATTTGGGAATTTTTTTACTTGTGCAATGAAGTATCAAGACTCATGATTTTAATGGTGTGAGACTGAACCGGGAAAATGAGGCAACAACAACAACAAAATTACATTTATAGAGTGTCTTTCACGTCGGGAGGACGTCCCAAAACGATGCAAAGGAGGAAGCGAGGCGAAGGGATCGTGGGATGGAGTTCCAGAGTGTGGGGGCAGAGAGGCTGAAAGCCCGGCCACCGATGGTAGGGTGGGTCGGGCGGGAGACATGGAGCAGGCCGGAGTCTGATCAGCAGAGGAAGCAGGCAGGTTGGTAGGGAGTCAGCAAGTCAAAGAGGTAGGAGGGAGCAACTTGGCAAGTAACAAGATCCAACCAGATAAGTTCAGATTAGCGAGAAACAGATACCCACACAATTAGAGAGGCAGAGAAACACCTTTCTCATCAGGGGGATGTTTCAAAGTACTTTACTCGACTGTCTGGGACCCTGAGCAGGGGAGTGGGCAAGAGCTGAGCTGAGGAGAGGAGGCAAACATATAAACATACACAGATAAATGGAAGAACACACAAGCACACACAAACCAATTGTCTATACTGTTTTCACAATCGCAATGGAGCCAGTCTCAATCAGTACATATATGGGCTTTGTACTGAATGTCACATCAGACTGGAAGACTTTACTCTTCGACCTCTTCATGCCTATTGGTCATTTCCACTTTCTCCCTGGCTCTACGTCAAACTACACCATTGTTCAGTGCTCTGAGATGGTACCCCATATGAAGTGTACCACATGAATGGGAGTTGTTGTTACTGAATGTACTTTGTCGTTTTACGGCTTTGATTGAGAGGCATTTAAAGAAACTAACTTTAGAATGCCACTTCCATGTATGTTGGTCTCTCTGTTATTTAGGAGTTGAATATGCTCTTGCCAATAGGTGTAGCAACTTAGAGAATGGAAGTTTCCCATTGTAAGTGCACATCATTGAAGTTACTTCAAATAGCAACCAGAGGAATCTCTCCCCTTTAGACTTCACATACAGCGCAGGTACACCTTTCCATATGTTTAGGTCACTTGTGGAGTTTGGTACAAATGACATGAAGGATAAAACTCCAGATTTAAAATTCCAGATCTAGATTTATTACAATAAAAAATAATACTTGCTTTTCATATATTGTCTTTCACATTGGAGGACGTCTCAAAGAGCTTCATGGGATATATTGTAAATTGTAGTGACTGTGTTTTGTAGGTGAACCAGGCAATTTGCACAATG